AATTCTGAGTTTTGATTTCATTTCATTTCTTAAAAGGGTTCTGAGTCCGTCTCGTTACGGAGTTTACATATCCCCTCATTTTTTTATTTCTTAGGTTTGTCCGTTAGGTTACTTGTTAGGTTGTTATTCTGCGCTGAGCACGTGCTCAGTCAGTGCTTTTTCTGCATCTGCTACCTCCGACCGCCACTACATCTGCAAAGGCTAACAGCTAAATAGATTAGGCTAACCGCTAAAAACCTTTGAGATTAACCATCACAGATGCACACGGTGGTGTTAGGAATGTTGAGTTCAGTGAACAGGGCAGTGAGCAGAAATAGCACGCATTTGTAGGAGAGAGACAAGTACTTTTCAAACGAGATAAGGCACACCATCAGATCATAGAAACAACAGTCCATGATCTGAGGACACACCATTCTTTATTTTAATAAATCTGAAACAAAACTGTACCTCCTGAAACTTGTTAAAATAAGTTTTAAATTTTATGAGTCTTTCTAACATTATTTATAATTTTTATTACACAAAAAATCATCACCTAACATTAATTTATCGCATAATGTTCATTTATAAATTGTGTGTTAAGTACGGACCACTACATGAGTGGTGGTCACACAATGGTCGAAGCGAAATACCGTTCGATATTAATGAGCTTTCAAACAACGCTCTAGACAATAGCTTTTTAAGCTATTAACATCACATATAGTCTCGTATTGATATTTAAAGATAAATCGATAAAAGTAATTTAACGATGTATTACATTTGAAAAGAAGTCATCATCATCCTTTAAACTAATTAAAGTCCACTTTTAAAATAAATCCGGGGTAACATAAGAGAGAATAGGATGGCAACTATGCATCTATGTAAAAATATAATGTGATAACCCTGTTTAGGATTGACCTCAGTAGTATGTATCCTGATAATCAACGAAGTAACCTCTAACAACAGATAATTTTCTTATTATATTAAAAATAATTTAGCACACACAGTAAGTATCGTAGAGGCGTAAGATTTTACTACTCTGCGTACTAAATTTAGCTCGCTCTTCTAGTCGTTGTAGTAGTGCACGTCTGCTGATCATGAGATCCCGGGTTCGAATCCCAGGTTGGGCCAAAAAATATCAGTTATTGAGTTTTTCCATTAAGAAATTCTCAGTTGCTGCCCGTAGTCAGGAAGTTAGCGGTGTCTTACCCATGCCTCGGAAAGCACGTAAAGCCATTAGTCCTGCGCCTGTTCTCTCTCCGGTTGTGTTGTTCTACCGTCCCATCGAACCATAAGAGTAAGGCAATAGATAGTGCACCTGTGCTTGTGCATACACTTGGGCCACGGTAATATTATCTATACAGTATTGTAACTCGGCCGTATCTTTCAAATAAATGCCTACAGCCGTGCGGCACGTAAACATGTGATAGGGCTACCTGCCTCCAGCATTTTTACACTTGCCTACTTTGTGTTTCCATTTAGTTTTATGATTGTAAATATACTTTTTATATAAACAAATAAAATAGGTACTTTGTGAATTGAATAGGAAGTGTTCAATAAAAATGCGTGTCGTTTTTTGATTGGTAGATTTAATTAAAAAACCATGTTTATGTTTGAATAACAAATCGGTTAAATAAATTTGCGACCGAAAAATATTTGCACCTCGGCTGAGACTTACGAAATGCTTTATTATTAGATTTTTAAATATAAAAAATCCGCTTTCTAATATAAAGCTTAAAATAATATAAATTAAAAATTATTTTGGGAAACATGGACAACGTGGAGAAAAGGAATATCTTTTAATTGGTTATAGATACCTGCAGCTACTTTACAATTTATATGTTTGTTTTTAAATGAAGTTCAGTTTTATTATTTCTTTATTTCTATTCTATTATTTATTTCCTCCAATTTTTTTATATTATATTTCACAAAATCATGACTGCGGCACAGTCTCGACTGTCTGCATGCCGAGCGCGTGCCGAGATCGAGGCGCGTAGGTATAGCTCTCGCTTCGTCCGTTTGTATGAAGTTGGAATACTGTATAGATAATATTACCGTGCTTGGGCACTATAATTCTGTCCTGCACCGATGGCTAGTCGCCATTGAGGCTGTCTGCCCTGGCCGCAAATCGGCCTGAAGGACATTATTATTATTTGTTTAAAAACTGAACAAGTTAAAAGTGACCATAGTATATAGCGACGGTGTAAGAATACCCACAACCCCATATCGTCCCGTGTGTGTCGTAAGAGGCGACAAAGGTTAACAAATCAGGAGACGTGCAGTAGCGTCTTCCTAAATAGGTACAAATAAAAAATAAGAAAACTGCAGTTGCCAACCCGCTTGCCAAACGTGTAATATATCCCACTATAAAGCACTATATTGGGAGGGCTTTTGTTCTACAGCAGACTTTTAATGGACTATGGTAATGGTAAATAATCTGAAGTTTCGAGTTTACAATAAAAATTTTCTTCACCGCTAAATACGTAGAATATAAGCACTTTACCGTCACCGATACAGACTACCAAAAGTCTACAGCTAACATAAGCCTCCGCCACAGATTATATAAGTCTCCTGTTAAACCAAGAGATGAGCAAAACTGTCTCGCTAATAACAACATACGTGGTAGAGCCATGCTGCAGTTATATTAGCAGTATAATTGTAGCACGAATGGGAATCTTAGTCCTCACGGGTGACAACGCATCTGCATTTTGATTCGTAATCGAGGATAGATATAGATGTCTATGGGCCTCATCATACACTTACCATCAGTTGGACTGTGTGCTCGTTTTATGACCTTATCCTATTAAAAAATTGAAATATATAAAACTGTGGTTACAAACCCACCTACCAAGCGTGGCAACTATGGCAAATATTCCCCTTATCAGCGTAATAAATCACAATAATTAAAAGAATTGAATAATTTTTTATTCAATATAGATTACATGTTGTAATTCTTATTGAAAGTCATTTTTTAATTTACCACTGGTTCGAAAAAAAACTTCTGTCCAGGAAAAACCAACAAGAAACACAGCGGGACTTTTTTTTTTAAATTTCAACGTCAATGGTCACAAAATATTTACGAAATTTATTTTAGAAACAGCTTTGAAGCGATATTATTGTTGTAATAGCGTAATTAAACATTCTTCACCATACATTGCCCAAAGAATGAATTACCGACTCTATGGAGTCGAAACTGGTATCACTAGCTTGTGTTTGTTCCTAGTGTTTACAGAATGTATATCACTTTTTTTACTAAACCTACCTTTTCTTTTTAAAATTTTCGTAGATATACTGAGAGACCAAAGTTAATATATTGATTTAACTCCCGGCTTAAGGTTTTCTGTTGAATACCATAATACAAGTTATATATATCTACTATTGAACATTATTTTTATTATATTCTTCATCAAACACTTTTTGATAGGTTTTACAGGATCTCTTAATTTTAAAAGAGTATTTATATGTTATAAAAACACGCATTTACGCGTGTGCCCACATCTGTGCACATTTTTTTCTAATTGAAGAAAAATAATGCAACGTCAAAAAAGCTCACCTATAAAAAATCTTATAGAATTATAAAACGGTTTAACAGCAGGCTGCAAGTATAACCAATTTTCAACCATAAAATATTGTTTTAATAACGTCTTTCAACCAATCCTCAGTCAAAATATATGCACATAAATAATCACACGCACACATTGAAACTGACGTCGTTATATGACCCACTTGTACACACAACCACTGGTTACAATCAAACTGGTATATGAAAGAAACAATGTTATAGATTCGCGACGTAGTGCGAGAAGGAAGTTTTTCGTATAGTATAACCAAAAACTGCAAATAAATCTCGTATTAAATATTTTAGTTTTACGAAGTATATTTATTAATTATAAAAAATAATATAGAATTTTAATAAATAATAGAAATTTCAATAATGATAGAAATATAATATTTATTAAAATGTCTATTAAATAATTGTAAAAGTACTAGAGCATTGGACTACCAATCAGTTCGTAACCAAATTAAGTGGTGCTTCACTATATACCAAAGTTCACCAAAATAATCAAAATAACATATATTTTAAACCTATAAATCATCTAACAAAACGAATAAACAAAGTGTTGTTAGTTCATCAACCAATCTCATTACTATATTTTATATTAAATATGATACAACATACATATTATGTAAAAAATATACACCGAAGTATTGCAATTTTTTCTTATTTTATCTGTCTTTCGGCGATATACTGTGCACTCCCCATCTTTATCATGTCTCGACAGCGCGGCTGTACTTGCGCCCACTCCATGTGATAGCCTCGAGCGACGCGCGCTAGCTCACGTGGCAAGTACGGTGCGCGGGAACCGCGAATTCGAAATACGAAAATAATATTTTTTGGATAAGTTTTATTTTTTATGAAATACTTTAATTTCTACCTGTAATTTTTAGTGATTTTCTATCTAGTGATTTCGAATGTAATTTTTGTATATAAAGTGTTGTGAAATAACTAATTTAAGTTAGTAATGTTCGAGTAGAATAAGTCAGTAAATTGTTTGATAAAGTAATTTAAATAAATAACCACAATACGTTAAGGCTAATCATATATTGGAGATGAGAGCAATTTTCCAGACCATCAGCAACGGGCAAGTAAACAATAACATCCTTAATCGATAAGCGAGATGGCAATATAAGTTAGAATAGGAAAGCATAAGAATCTTCGTTTCAAAGAAAATAGAATTCTCATACAAAACGTAATGACGGAACAATAATCGTGTAAAAGTTCACGATACTTGTCTAACACTATAACAATAAACCGACCGACGAAATAAGATCTTAAACAAGTTGGTTTCCAGTAAAAAGTGATTCTGTAAAGACAGTTCACGATACATTGGTTGAGTATCGCGGTCATCGGCAGATAATGATCTGTCGATGATTTACGCTGCCTTAAACCGACAATGGTTTAAGATAACCCCCAGCCGTTCCTCACAATGTGACCAATTACATTAGCCAGTTTTAACGCAAAGATGACCAAGATGAACGGTACCAACATCCCAAACATGACGGAGCAAGAAAATCTATCGGTAGATGAGATTTTTAACGAAAATCTAATTGTTAAACGAAAGAAAACAAATTTTGAAGATAACATATCTATTGAGAGTGTTATTAATAATACTTATGAACCTACAAATATAAAATTTAATAACAATAACGATTTAAAGTTAGCAGATAAAACAATTGAAATTAATGATAAAAGGAAGACCGCTAAAATAAATAGTAATGAAAACAATTTAACCAATAATAGAATTTCTATGGAAACTCACAATGACTTAACTAAAACTATAAGATTAGAGTTAAGACATGCAAACAAATGTACGATTGAATACAAAACAAATAATAGAGAACTCAATGATAAAAATGCAAGAAATGAAATGAGTACAGTACTCGGTCTGGAAAACGGAGAGCTTCATGAATATTCTTTAAAACATAATAATGATTTAAGATTGGAAGCCGATGATAAGAATATAAATAATGATGTGCAAGTTCAAAGCGACAGTAGTGAATTTGTTAATGGAAACAACACACACGACGATAAAGTAAGTATTCTAATTTGTTCTGTGTTAATAATTGTGTAACATAGCATAAGATTATAAACTATTCTTTTTTTCAAAAAGAAAGTCCCGCTAAGGTCTAAGTGGTTGTTTCCAGGACAGAGGTATTTTCAGAACCAGTGCAGTGGTAAACTACACATAAGAATGACTTAGAATAATTATTATTTATAATCTTCTAGCCGGTAACCGGCGCGTTACAGCAACAGAAGAATCAATTGTGGAAATATCGTTTTAAATTTGGTAGAGTTATATTGTTTAATGAGGAATGATGATACATTCATTGAAATTGAATGATATATAACTTTCAAATAAATTTATCGGTTTGACAACCGCCTACTGTAAGTTAATTGTACTATGCCTGTTACCTTTGCGCAAGTGCAAGCAATAAGTTGACAAAGTTTTAGCGCAATCTGATGAACGGTATGGCAGGGCATAAAATACGACAAACAAATGTTAATATTTATATATTATATAATGCATAAAAAAATCTGTTTATATTCATTGTTAACTCTATTCATTTGATTACTGTAACTCATTTGATGAAATAGAGAACGCGTGGCTTTTGAGTAACTGGCTACCATACCGCGAGTTCTGCTTATGAATTTCAGCCAGAGCTAACATTTGTGTAAATCCTCGTGAAACATTTATTTACATTGTTATTAAAGATAGATAAAGTCGCAATAGGAACACCAAAAACAAACTACAGCTACCGTTAAGTAATATAATTTAAGAAAAGATACGACAAAGAATTATACAACCCATATTGATGTCGTAAACCAGTCGGGTTTACGGGGCAGTGTTGCTTATGCAATGGTTTTCCTTTATGACTCGTCTCGCAATCTCAAAAATGCATACGGGCGATGCATCAATGGACAAAAACCAACGAAGACAGGTGATGTAACCGCACGCGACTCGCCATTTTGACTTTAATAATTTAGCTGCTTCAAGATATTCATAAAATAACAACTACTGATACAACTAACTGATATTGATAGCTCCGTGGCGGGAATCCCGCAAAAGGTTCGAATCTCGCACGGAACAAGTATTTGTATGGCCTACAAATAATTGATTTGTGGTCTGGATGTTCGTCCGTGTGCAATTTGTGTTTGTAAACTGCCTCCACGATACAGGAGAAAATCCTAGTGTGGGGTAACATTTAAAAAAAATAGAACTTTTATCGTATGCAGGGATAAGGTTCAAAGGATCGTAGACCTACCTATAGATGGAGTCATAACCACTTCGTCATAAAAGTGGATTCGCCCTTCAATGTGGAAAGTCCATATCCAGCTAGGGGTTGATGATGGACTGGTTAGAAAAGATAGACTTTTTATTCTTTAAAAAAAACGTTATCCGCAGACTAGAGATTTCTCCTGTATTGTGGTGGCAGTTTACATACAAAAATCCTTACGTATAGTTATAGCATGAATGGATCGGCTCGACCGGGGAAAGGCCACGCTCTCACAGAATACCAGCGTAAAAGAGCAGCTGAACACGGCTGTGTTTCGTATGGTGAGTGTAGAGAAACGGAGACCCTTTTTATTAGGCATTCCATCTTAGTCCTCACGGGTGACAACGCATCTGCAATTTGATTCGTAATAGAGGATAGTAGGTGTCTATGGGCCACAGCAACCACTTACCATCAGGTGGACTGTATGCTCCCTATCCTATAAAAGAAATTTGCAAGGATCATCCAGACCAGAAACAATTATTTGTAGGCGATACAAATACTTGCGAGATTCGAACCCGTAGCCCCCAGAGCAACCCATTGCCAAGCCACTGGAAGCATTATTGACCATATACTCAAACGCTACTCAATTTTAAGATGTAGTTAAGTCTCGTGGTGTCGCAGTCACTTTGACTTAAAGTGATAGAGACAGCACGAGGCTTAACAGCATTTTAAAATTCTACTCAATTTTAAGATTGAGTATTTGGGCACTAATCAATTAAATTATAGGTGCGCACTCACTACCATAATCATTTTCAGAAAACGTGCAATGAACTGAAATGTAAATACCGTTACAACCTGTTAAAGTCCACAGCAACATAAGCCTCCCCCATAGATTGGCAGATATCCCCATTATGAGCCCATATTTGTTTCTATCTGTAACCTCTTGCAACACCTACAGGATGATATGGGGTAGTGGATACTCTTATTCCGCCACTACTCGTAATACCAATATGTGCGCTAAATATAATAAAAATGGTTTGATTGTTTTAACATTTTAATGGCACATGCGTGCCTAAACACATGATCGCATGGCTAGTAAATCGAGTAGGCGGTTACTTACTACATCACTAGTCCTGTGTTCGAATCCTAACTGTGCTATAATACAATTTTACGAGTCTGGCAGCATTGATATCGCATCCTATCTCTCCAAACTTAAACCAACTACCTACTTAAACCAACAGCATACTTTAATTACTAAACAAAGCAAACAAACTTAGAAAGAGTAAGCGCTTCTGCTAGCTCTACCACGGCACTACAATATCTTCAACGCTGTTCATAGCTTCTAACATAATTTATTTTTAATTTTACCATCATTAGATTAATGCGAGTAATTCATTTTTTTTTAATGTTTATTCACCATTATTAAAGTCCATCAAAATTGGACCGCCGAACATGTGAACGTGAACACGTGTTTCTCCTAAGGGTTTTTTTTATAAGATAGGATGACAAATGAGCACACAGTCCACCTGATGGTAAGTGGTTGCTGTGGCCCATAGACATCTACATCTATCCTCGATTACGAATCAAAATGCAGATGCGTTGTCATCCGTGAGGACTTAGATGGAATGACTCGTTTCCAGTAAAAAGGGTCTCCGGTTTTATACACTCATCATTCGAAATACCGCAGCATTAAGCTACTATTTGACGCTGCTATTCTGTGAGACCGTGGTCCCTCCCCGGTCGAGCCGACCCATTTGTACTTCAACTATACTACTAATATAACTGCAGCATGGCTCTACCACAAAAAGTAGGCATATATTAAGCATTCCATATCTATATTACCTTATATGGGATATCTAAAGGGATAATTGGTTTAGTTGCCACGCTTGTTAGATGAAATGGCATTTAGCAAACGCATTTTTTATTATTATTAATTATTACTATCATAAAAAAGCTGCCGTCCACATTCAATTTCAGTTACCCTCTGTCGCCTCTTACATTATACTCTTAAGATCTTACGACCATATCAATTTGACATAACTGATACTCGTATTTATTTTTAAATACCGGATAAAACGAGCGAAATTATTTCCTATAGATATTATATACCAGTCATGGTTTTTTTTATAAGGCTTGAGCATGCGGCCGGCTCACCTGATAGTAACTATAAATTAAACATATATTAAATATATATTAAATTAAACTATAAATTATACTACCGCCCATGGACAACTGCAACACCAGGGGAATTGCAGAAAAAAGGATTAGACTCTTTTCTTGAAAGGCCTTAAGTTGTATTGATCCGGAAAAATCACTGATTGTAGACGTAGAAGAATATGACGTCTATAGCAATTCAGTAACCACGAAATCTGAATTTATAAAAATAATATTATAATAGTATAAAATGTAATGATTATATAGATATTATATATATTCACGTAATAATATAATAATATTTATTCAAAAATATAACCACACATAAATACTTAGATGTGCTCAATTATTTTTCTACTTATGTTTACGAACAATTTACTATCAATTATTATTATATAAACTTTTTTATTAGAGTGTTGTAATTACACATCATCATCATCATCATCATTACAGCCCTTCACAAGTCATTGCTAACATAGCCCTCCCCAAGTAATGCCACAAAGCACGGTCCTGAGCCACCTGCATCCATCTACTTCCTGCATGTCTTACCAGGTCGTCACTCCATCTAGTGGAGTTCGACCTACACTACGCCTACCGGTACGAGGCTGCCACTCGAGAACCTTTCTTCCCCATCGGTTATCGGTTCTTCGAGCTTCATATGGCCGGCCCATTGCCACTTCAGCTTACTAATCCGTTGGGCTATGTCGGTCACTCTGGGTTCACTGCGGATAGCCTCATTCCTGAGTCTATTGCGCAGAGAAACTCCGAGCATAGCCCTCTCCATAGCTCGCTGAGCGACCTTGAGCGTGCGCATACGGCCAGCAGTGAAGGACCACGTCTCAGATCCGTAAGTCATCACTGGCAACACGCACTGGTTGTACACTTTAGTTTTCAGTGATTGAGGTATACCTCACAAGATGTGTCGTAATTTCCCGAACGCTGCCCAGCCGACTTGAATCCGTCGATTGACCTCTCGGTCGAAGTTGGACTTACCTAATCGGACTATTTGTCCCAGGTAAACGTACTCGTCAACAACTTCGATCATAGTGGAAAACAAAGATCAATATGTCTATACAAAGACAAAACAATGATCATGTTTAATGTTATATATGTAATTACCGGCATAGGTGTGACATGCACACCTATGCCGGTAATTACACAAATATAAGAAATATTTATGGATTTATCAAATACCACGTTAATATCCAATTTTTAAAGCTCAAATCAGATTATTTTAAATTTTCTTCAATTAACTGATACCGGAACTATAGATACTAATGAGATTAACCGATTCACTTCTTCCGCATTGTGACTCCATTGTAAACATTCGGGCGGTGAGGTCAGTGAATAGATTGCCGGAATTCTGTATCGTATCTAAACAGCCGATCGCCAATCGCATTGTATCGGCACAAGTTATATATCGAAGAATTTTAAGATGTCCCCTTTCGTGTATTTGGAGTCTTGGGCTATGCCGGTTAGAGAACTTTTTTTAAAATTAAATATAACCAGTTATTAAACAATATTTACTTAATCTGTGCCGAGCCGTGGTAGCTCAGTTGGTTAACGCTCGCTGTAAATATAACAGAACGCGAGTAACCCGGGTCCGATCCCCGCCGGCACAAATGACATTGTAATTGAAGAATTGCAATATTAAGTGCTGACTTACCACGTGCTCGACGGTGAAGGAAAACATCGTGAGTAAACCTGCATGTCTGAGGAATGAGAAAAAATATTTCGAAGACATGTAAGTTCGCAACACGCATTGGGGCAGCGCGGCGGACACTTTCTTGCCCTAAAACCCTCTCAGAAATGATGGAGGGGAGGTCTTTGCCCAGTTGTGGGACGTATATAGGCTGTAACTTTACTTTACTGTGTTTCGTATGGTAAGTGTAGAGAACCGGAGACCCTTATTACTGGAAATAAAGCGTTACATCTTAGTCCTCAAAGGTCAGCGCATAACAATAAACAATATTTATTTCATTTCCAACTACACATGATTACATACAGGAACAAATATAATTACAATTAAAAAATTAACATATTATAACATGTTATTTCTGTTAGACTTACTAACAAAAATAACATGTTATAATAAAATTAAAACTATGTGTAGCTTGATAGAATCTACAAAAGAAAAATTGAAAAGTCAAGTTTACAATATTAGCTACCTGCCTGAACTAGGTTGAGTACCTGTGTTTCAAATCATAAACATCGTTAATTGAAAATAGATGAAAAAGTCGATGAACCACAGCATCCACTTAGCATCAGGTGCAAAAACCAAAAAACCAAAAAACCAGCAAAAACTATATATAAAAAAAGTTTGTTATAATATAAATGTCGCTTCCAAGCTGTTTCTAAAAGAAATTTTGTAAATATTTTGTGACCAAATCTATTCCACATTTTTTGACATATAATATAGTAAAAAGTAGTATAGTAAAATTGTTTTTAAAAAGAAGTTCCGCTGGGTTACTTGCCAGTTCTTCTCAGGACGGAGGTTTTATTTTCGAACCAGTGGAAAAGTAAAAAATGATTTTCAATAAGATTTACAACATGTAATCTATATTGAATAAAAAAATATTCTATTCTATTCTATTCTAGCCCT